TCAGTTCAAGGCTAGCGCTCTACCACTTGAGCCCCAGCACCACTTCCAGCTTTCTCTGCTTATGTGTGCAAAACAAGCACTGTACCACTAAGCCACCTTCCCCCCCTCCCCCCCCCACCCCTTGTGGGTCTTGAACTCTGGGCCTGGGCGCTGTCCTCCAGCTCTTCAGCTCAAGGCTAGCGCTCTACCACGTGAGCCACAGCACAACTTCCAGAAAACAATTATTTTGAAAAAGGGAAGAAAATATGGAGAAACATTGAGAGGATACACAAAAAAGTAAGACAGTTGCTATAAAAAGAAAAGATTATTTTTGAAGGTTTCAATAATGCACTTAAAAAATCTTACATAATTTAAAAAACCAGTCAAAAAAGTCAAGAAAGACTTTAAAATAGGTTAGTTTATATTAAAAGACATATGAAATCTGAATGTGGAAATTTCAGCTAACCAATAGCTCATAGCAGGAGCTAGAGGATAACAAAGTAATTGTTTTTCTGATTCTTATCCAAACAGAATTGCTTAAATTGAAGGTTACCTAGGACATTTTAAATTACTGAACACCAAGACCAAAGGAAAAATATTGAAAACTTCAAAGAGAAATTTGCAGGTTTTCCTCTAGTCTAGGTACTCCTGACTAGAATAAACATTTTAGTTAAAAACCTTTCTTTCTCTGGGCGCTGGTGTCTCATGTCTGTAATCCTCATTACTCAGGAGGCTGAGATGTGAAAATCATGGTTTAAAGCCAGCTTGGTCAGGAAAGCCTATGAGACTCTTATTTCCAACGACCTTCCAAACAGTTAGAAGTAGAGCTTTGGCTCAAGTGGTAGAGCTCTGTCCATGAATACAAAGCCCAGAGACAGCATCCAGGCCCTAGTTCAAGCCCAAGACTAGTACCAAAAAAAAACACAAAAATTTTAAAAAAGCTATCTTTCTCGCCTTAAAAAAAAATTCCAAGTCTTTTTGGAATAAAGTGATTTGTTCTAATTGTGTTTCCAGTAATAACATTCAGATAAATATTGGAGCTAGTAGTTATTATACTTTTACTGGGCTAAGAAGGCAAGTTAACGAATTATTTAAACCTTTCTCTAGACTTATTATTTCCAGATAGTGTTATTTATTAGATATTCATATTACTAGTGTTATTTTTGTATGTGTGACCCTGAGGAGCAAACCCATGCCTCATGCCTGTGAGAAAAGTGCCCATCACTAAAAAAATACCCCAACTTTTTGATCTTTCATTGGAAAAAACAAAGCTGTAATGCTTCTTTTGTTTAAGAAGGATTTACTTATTATAAAGGCCAATGTTTATTAATGCATATACTTTCCTACAGGAATTTTCATTTTAACACCTGAAGGACATCTTGAATGATAGCAATGGTTCCCTATGAGTGATTCTTAGGTATTATCTAACCAACTGTTATACCAGTCCATTGTTGTTTTATAGTCTTTTTAGTGTCTAAGTCTTTAGATGTATCTACCAATTAATGATATTTCAAATGCTGCTTTAACAGTGTGTGTGTGTTTCTTTTTGCTTTTGTTTTTGTTTTTGTATCGGAGGTTGAACTCAGCGTCTGGGTGCTGTCCCTTAGCATGTTTCCAGTCTGGTGCTCTACCCTACTTCTATCTCTCCCTCTGACTTTTTTTTCCTGGTTAATTGTGAAAGGTTAAAGTTTGAGGCAGTGACCATCACTTGTTGCTTGTTTCTGTCTAGCAAAACAACACGTGGTGATAATCAAAACACCTGGTTGATTGTGTGCCTATATAAGACCTGCAAATCCTTAGCTCAGGGCTCTCCTCCTGGGCTCCGCTGTGTCAGAGTGTAGGACGAGGCCCGAGCTGCAGCCCATTTAAATAAAACAGCTATAGAGTCTGACTCTCGGTGGTCTTCTTGTAGTGGGGTCCTGTGACCTTGGCATAACAATTGGAGATAAGAGTTTCTGCCCAGGACTGGCTTTGAATGATGATTCTCAGATCTCAGCCACCCAAGTAGCTAGGATTATAGGCATGAGCTACTGGCACTCATTAATAGCAGGCTTCTTAAAGAGCTTCCACATAAGTCCCTCATTTGATTCCCAGTATCTCAACAGCCCTGTGAGGTGGGCAGTATTAGCTTCTTCTTGACTTTCAGGTACGCCTCATGGGTGAGGTCACATGATCTTCTAGTGGGCATCTGGTTTTCTGGATCTGGATGCCATGTCACTTGGTCTTCTTCCAGAAATACAGGGCAAATGATAAGGACATTTTGTTGATCCTCTCCTGGCTTTGTTTCTGTGATGAGTTCTTTCTCATGACAATGCATTGGAAATTGAAATACAATTTGGTGTCCTGTACCAAACTGTAGGCAACAGCTTTTTCTGAAATCCCCCTTTGCCCTGAGGACACATAATGACAAAAGCAGAGAGCTTGGGGGAAGAAAGCAATCTGAAGCACAGTTATTTCAATCCGTAGAACCCTTCATAAAATATTATGGTGTAAATTAAAGGAATCCAGAAGTCTTTAAAGCCATCTGGCTGATTTAAGTGTATTTTTTAATAGCATCTTTTTGAGAAAGATCAGAAAAGCTCAAGACGATATAAATATAAGTCAGTATGGAAACAATTCCTCAGCTGACCATTGCTCTTCCAAGCTTCCTGACCTTCAAAGGAATAGCCCAATAATTTGGAGAAGAAATGTGAATGGCACTGAACACCTTTTGGAGAGCTGCTAACCTGGCAGATGGAGACGAGGCATCAGAAATGCGGAACGAGGGATGATTCTCTGCCTCCAGTGCAAAATTGTATGAAGTGTGCTTTAATTAAAATTCTAGCTTTCGCTTCCTGGCCTTTTGGCAAAGATCACTTTTAACAATGCATTCACTTACTGTCTTAGGTAAACTGCTGAGAAGGAAGAGGCTGTGACCTAAAACTTAATCACATCAAAGACTTTATATTAATTCCTCTGTTGGTAGTAACGTGGCTCATAAACGCTCCAAGTTGGATGGTTCCTTCCAGAGGGCTGTGACTTCTCTAAGCCTTAAAACCAACCCACATTGCCCTGGCTTCAGCTTTGCTTGCTGACTCAGCAATGTCCAAGTTGCCTCCAATGGAAAAGACAGACAGAGCAGTGTGAAGAAATCCTCCTACAGCCAAATCCATCCCATATGAGAGGGCAAACTTAATAAGAATCAGCCGTGAGCCCTTGGAAGGCAGTCTCCAAAATGTACATGATTTACAGCCAGGGTGGGCTGCTGAGTTTTCTGTCTTTCCATGTTAAAAATGATTTTGCATGAATAAAACTTCAATTTCAGCTAATAAGGACAAAGAGAATGAAGGGTAGGCTAACTCTAGAGCACCTGGAAGTAGATAAGAAAAATGAGCACCTTAAGATTTCATGACTGTAAGGTGCTTAGTGAATAGAGTGACAAAACATGTACCACACAGGCCAGAGCCAGCTCATGTACACCCTGACTGCAATCAACATGCTGTGGAAGCAGAAGAGTTGTGTTTTCTGTTTCTCCCCAGAGCCTTTCTTTGCAGTGATGGAATCATCTCATGGCATGAAAACATCTTTGGGATGCTGCCTATCTATATGGTGGTACCAATCTACCCACCAATAGGATAGAATTGTAACTATTTCCTTTCTACAAGTTGGTATCCTAGTGGGCATAGTGTTATTCTTACTCACAAGTGATGTATTAATAGAGCCTTGAAAAACTCAAGTCTTTCTTGCTTAATCTCCTGTACCTATCACCTGCCAATTTCTATCCCTAAAGGCGGTGATGACCATTTCATTTTGACATATGTTCTTCCAGACCTTTCCATGAGCATTTTAACACAAACACATACTCATATAAACAGACATGAGATTAAAAAATGTGATCATACTAAGTACATATTCATCTTCAAATTGTTTTGCTAGTTTAATGTTTCTTGGTTTATGTCAGAGAACATACAGCTCTTTTTTTTTTAGGGGGGGGTCTGGTCGTGGGGCCTGAACTCTAGGCCTGGGCACTGTCCCTCAGCTCTTCAGCTCAAGGCTAGCGCTCTACCACTTGAGCCACAGCGCCACTTCCAGCTTTTTCTGCTTATGTGGTGCTGAGGAATCGAATCCAGGGCCTCATGCATGCAAGGCAAGTGCTCTACCACTGAGCCACCGTCCCAGCCCCAACAGCTCTTTTTTATTGTTGGCCTTTTTTATTTTAGTTTTGTGAAATAAGGTCTTTCTATGTAACCCAGGCTGGGCTCAAACTCTTGATCCTCCTGTTTCAGCCTCCCAGCTCATAGATTTTTTTTTCCTTCATAGTCTATAACAGGGATATGCCATAATTAATTCCCTATGTGTTTACAGTTTTGCTCTCCACTGACATTCCCATGCATTCATTATTTCCAGTACTGTAGAGGACATTGTTATTTCTGCCCTCATTATCATATAGGCACATGTTTATCAGGGATAGATGGGGACACACAGATTTACTAAATCATAAGGTATGGGATTTCAAAACTTTTAGTAGACAAGCAATGCCAGAACATCTTCTATTAATAATATTCCACCCCTCTACGTTTTACCAACATAATATTATCATTCAACCTGTGACAATTTGATGGATTAAAGAAAAATGGGGGATTTCATTGTTTCAATTTGCATTTCCCTTGGGGGTGATATAAGCACTAAAAATAGTTTTTAATTTCCTATGTAAGCTCAGGGATAATGGGAAGGGCGATTGTGAATTCCAGGTGGGTTGATTAACTGGAGATGGAAACTGGCTTACATATTGTTCTTAGTTTCTAATTTTAACAAATTGTGGTAAGCTAGTGGGCTTGAAAGATTTTTGCTTTTTGGAATTTGATGGGATGTGCTTTATGATCTAATTCTTAGTATGTTTTTGTAATTGTTCCATGTGGCCTAAAACACTGTGAATTCTTTGTTTATGAAATATGTCTTCAAGTTAATTTTGGCTAATGGTTTCATTAATATTAATATTTTCTACATAAATATTTTCAGTATTCTTCTTTTCTCTTTTCCAGTGCCCAGAATCAAACCCAGGGCCTCATGCATACCAGGCAAGTGCTCTATGACTGAGTTATAGTCCAGCCTAATATCTTCTTGAACTAGAAAATTTCAGAAGAAATATGATGAATCATGAATAACACGTCTCTCTCTCTCTCTCTTTCTCTCTCCTCCTTCCCCTCTCTCCATGTTGAGGTTTAAACTCTCAGCCTTACACTTTTCTAGGCAGGTATTCTATCACTTGAACTATACCTTCAGCCCTGCCTTATCTATTTTGTATTTTTATTTGTTATTTTAAATATTTCCATATTATGCAAAGTGCATAATGGTTTGTGAATGGCTTATTTTCTTGGTAAATGTCTTTCATCAGAGTGAAATATTTTATCTTTTAAATTCTTTAAATGTTTTGCCTTGCATTGTATTTTATCTGACATTTACATTGCTCACACTCCTTTCCCTGTATTAGACTTTGCCTGGAACAGCTTTGCTTTCTGACTTCCTGGGTGTTAGAAATAAATTCAGTGTTGGTCCATTTGCAAGGCAAGGCATTTGACCCTGAGTGGAAAATTACCCGTGGCTTGGTTACATAGTACTTATAGATGTCACAAAGTTCATGCAATGCAAAGCCCATAGATAAACAAGACTGATGTGGCAGGGCAGTTAGCAAGGGGCAGAATAGACTACAATAAAATGAGAAATGGGTATAAACTACATATGCCAGAAAGTACATACCCAGAAGAGTCTTCTCACCACACTAGAACAAAGGGAGGAGGTGGAGAGAGACAAAAGCCCACTTCTAAAATTCAATCAACCTCAAGAGGTACATGCATTCAAATTACTCAGTAGAAAGTAATCTAACTTCAGTGACATCTGGGAGAGAATATAAATCCCATAGTAGATCACTGAGGATTTGGGAGAAGGATCAATAGGTGAAATTGTTTGCTGTAACCTTGGAGAGTATGCCTGCCCATCCTACAGACACCCGGTCTTGCAAACCTGCCATTGAAGTCTTGCTTTGGCTGCACTTTTTGTCTCCAAGACCATCCTCTGAGCTTGGATGGGGAGTTTATTTCTCATATTGGATCATTTTGAATACACAGTCTGCAGTGACACTAGATTTTGCTGCAGGCATTGTGATCATTTTAGACCTGTCTTATATTTTTCATAGACTTCAAATTATCTCTCATCTGGACAATGGTATATCTTGTTTTCTAGCTATGATACTCTGAAAGGTGTGTTTTCTGACATTAATTTAAGGTAGGAAGGAGAGATATCATTGCAGTTCAGGCTGCCACCGTGATCCAATTCTAGACTTCCTTAAGAAGGGATTTCCTCTCCCCCTTCCTCTCTAGCACATTCTTCCCGTGTCTTACATCCTGGCTGGCTTAGGTACTGAAGGTGCTGTGAGAAAAACAGTGCAGAAGAGACTTTGTGAGCATGTTTAATCAGCATGCACCCAGCTGAAAAACTGCTGTAGTCTTTGTTCCTTTGTGGTCCACACATCAATTTTACATTGAGGCTACAACTTGTTCTACTATCATGCATTAAATACTATCAATCCCCATGGTTGTATTATCTTTCCTATCTCATTCTCAGAAAGATCTGTTTAGTTTATAAACAGCCTATTTTCAACAGCACTACCAGTGACACCACAATATTGCCAGTCTCTGATTGATTGATTGGTAATACAAATATTCTTATTTCTTCTATGGGAAGAAATGTTGGTCCCTGACCAATAGACTGAGGGCAAGTCCTAGCACAAACTGAGTGCAGAGTGACTCTTAGTGATTTGGCACAATTAAAGGTAGCATTTACAATGTGTTATTTTTAAAGTCCGGAGAAAAATCCCCATAATTTATAAATTTCTGGAATAATTTTTTTCTTTCTTACTTTGTTTGAAACATTCTAATCTCACTTTTTTTCTTTTTTTGGTTGGTCATGGGCTTGAATTCTGGGCCTGGGTGTTGTCCCTCAGCTCTTCAGCTCAAGGCTAGCGATCTACCACTTGAGCCACAGAGCCACTTCTGGTTTTCTGATGGTTTATTGGACATAAGAGTCTCATGGAATTTCCTGCCTGGGCTGGCTTTGAACTGTGATCCTCAGATCTCAGCCGCCTGATTAGCTAGGATTACGGATGTGAGCTACTAGCACCCAGCTCTAATCTCGCTTTTCTTTTGTATTTTTTTTTTTTTTTGTGGTAGTCCTGAGGTTTGAACTCAAAGTCTGGGTGCCATCCCTTAGCTTATGCACTTAAGGCTGTAACTCTACCATTGGAGCCTTAGACCCACTTCTGGCTTTTTGGTGGTTAATTGGAGATGAGTCTCATGGATGATTTTTTTGTTCAATTTGGCTTCAAACTGCGATCCTCAGATCTTAGTCAAATTGAGCAGCTAGGATTATAAGTGTGAGTGTCTGGCACCCTGCCAACTATAAGTTTTAATAAATAAAATTTCATGTGGACACCCCCTATTCATTTGCTTATCATTTTATGTTTCTTTTCCCAACACAGGAAGAGCTGGAAAAGAATGACAGGAGCTGTCACGACCTGCAAAGCCTAAATCATTTACTATCAGAAAAAAAAGTTTGCTAATCTTGTATTTAGTATCTATTTATTGCCCTTTGTGACCAACTCGGAGTTGAGTCAGAGTCTGGTTCAAAAGCTTAGCTAAAATGTAAATCAGCAAACATAAGCATGGGGCATTGTGGATTGTGAAATTTTTTTTACGTGCTAGCTCTTCTGATTTCTCCAATAGAGGTATAAAATAGACCACTACTTCCATGAGGAAACAGGTTGAAAATATTGCATAATATCCCAGGGTTAAAAAGAAAAGAGTCAGTGTTTTCAGTCTTTTAACAGCTCATGTTCCTTTATCCCTGGAAAATACTTACTTTGATTTTTAAAAAGGGTGCTAGTGGCCATTACCATTAATCATTTTATGATGTACTCGTTTGTAAAAAAATTAAGGTTAGTTACAATTAATTATACTTTGTTCATATGTTTTATCTCCTAAATGCTGCATTTTAAGGATCTGTTTTTTTTTTTTTTTTTTTTTTAGTTATGGGGCCTGGACTCTGGTCCTGGGCACTGTCCTTCAACTCTTCAGCTCAAAGCTAGTGCTCAGCCATTTCAGCTACTTCCAGCTTTTTCTGTTTATGTGGTGCTGAGGAATCAATCCCAGGGCCTCATGCATGCAAGGCAAGCGCTCTACCACTGAGCTACCTTCCTAGCCCCGAGGTCAATATATTTTCTAATAGTTTAAAAATCAAAATCAATTTGGGCCTAAGTAAGATATAATCTTAAAATATAAATTCAAAAAGGTGAACAAATGTAGCAGTGGTACTCACTAGACACTGTCAAAAATAAACTATGTAACTCTTGGGTGAAGACAGAAGGGAAGAACTGGGAAAGAGTGAGAGAAGGGGTGACATTGTCCCAAAAGAAATGTATTCATTACCCACTTATGTAACTGTAATCCCTCTGAGCATCTCCTTTACAATATCAATAAAAAGCTTAGAAGATATAACCTTAAGTTCTGAAACCTGAGAACATGCATGTGAAAAATATTGTTTTGCTCATATACTAAAAGAAGTAAGATAAAGCCAACAATAAAACTCTCCTGGAATAGCAGAGAAAAATAAGAATCATGGGAAAAACAGTGGAAAGCTGATAAAATATTCTTTTTTTTTTTTGTTTTCTTTTGGGTCCAGTCATGTGCCGAACTCTGGGCCTGGGCACTGTCCCTCAGCTCTTCACTGCAAGGCTAGTGCTCTACCACTTGAGCCACAGTGCCACTTCCAGCTTTTTTTTTTCCTGCTTATATGGTGCTGAAGAATCGAACCCAGGGCCTCATGCATGCAAGGCAAGCGCTGTACCACTGAACCACCTTCCCAGCCCTGCTAAAGTACTCTTTAAGTGCATCAAATCATGTTGAGCCAAATGTTTCCGAGGAGGCTCAAACCTATAAATGGCTCTTAAGATTTAGGGTCTGGGTTAGCAATCATCTCCAAATCCATCTTTGGTAGGATTAAACACTTTATAAGGGATTTCTAACGGACAAACTCAGTGTTGCATCAGCTTCAGAACAGGATACAAATTATAGTGTACTGTCTGATTTCACTTCTGTAATATTAAGTAAGAAAGCAAATTTACGCCAGCACCTGTAATTTGCACCTGAAATCCTAGCTACTCAGGAGACTGTGATCTGGGGACTGAAGTTCAAGGCCAGTCTGGGCAGGGAAGTCTAAGACACTCTCTTCTCCAATTATCCACCCAAAAGTTGGAAGTAAAGCTGTAGCTCATGTGGTAGAGAAACAGTCTTAAGCAAAAATAAACCTAAGGGACAGCACCAAGTTCCTGAGTTTAAGCCTTGTACACACACACAACACACATACATATACACAACACACACATATATACAACACACACCTATATACAACACACACACATATACACAACACACACAACACACACACACAAGCAAATCTATGACAGCAGAAAGGAAAGTGATTGTTAGGGCTGAGATCAGGGACCTGAGTAAGTAGTGGATAGAAGATTTTTAGGATAGTGAAAATGCTGATACTGTACTAGTAGATGCATGTCACTCTGCCTTTGTAAAGCCCATGAAGAGTTAGCCCTAGGAGCTGGGTGTGGTGACATGTCTCTGTCACCCTAGCCACTCAGGAGAATCCAGAGTTTGAGGCCAGCCTAGGAAATATGTAATATTTTGGACATTCTATGGTATGAATATAAGAAAAACAATCCTTTCAAGATGGACACATAGCAAAAAAGAACTTACTTCACACCCAGATTGGATTTCCCATGAACAGGCCTCCTTCTCCAGAGGGGGCATCCCTCTTGGGAAAGTATGGTCCCCCAGGCATGGTTGACACAAGGCCGGCTCAAAGTCTGTCTCTCCTGGAGGGAGGTGCACCCCAGAGGGAGCCGTGTACTTCAGACTGGGACTCGGATGCTTGTCCACACTGACCATCGGGCTCTTGATCCATCTTCGCACCTACAAAGTGCAGAGGTGAAGAGAAAAGAAATGCATTAGCTACTTTTGCTCTTAATTGCAGCTCTGGTGGGAAATTCTGTGTGGCAGAGACTTAGAAGAAGACAATTCAGCCTCACAACCTCTGTGTCTTTCCAGCCTGAAGGACTCAAGCTGATCCATGTTCATCTGTCACTTACATGTCATCAAGTTTGCCTCCACATTTGATAAGATTGAGGGAATGATATTTTCTTCCAGGAGGTTACAAAAATGTAACAATATTTTATTGTTTTATTTTATTATTATTGTTTCTCATAGGTAGTGCTTGAACCCACGGCTTCTATGTTGGGCAGTGCTTTACCACTGAGTCAGGGTCTTGTTATGTAGATGAGACTAACCTCAAACACTATACATTACATCCCCCAGCCTTGGCCCCGTGAGTGCTTACATTACAAGTATGCACTACCAAGCCTGGTTTGTAAATGTTGATTTTTATTTTATTTTTGCACATGGTTGATGCTCAATAGTGATTATTGTATTTCAACTCCTACTATTACAATTATGCAGACAGAATAGTAGCTCATGGATTTCTACTCATGGTGAGTAGTTAGTCATACTTTCTTGGGGAAATTCTGACCTCATACTTTAAGACTTAGTTGTTTCTAAGCCAGTAAATATGTATTTCCCTATGCAAAATACTTGGTTATAAAAATAAATAAAAAGTGGAAGAGGAGGATCAGGACTATTATGGATAGAAAGCACAGTTTTGAGCAGTCTGAAGAAGGCAGAGCTCACTGAAAAGATGGCTTTTCAGTGAAAGCCGACAGTAGGGACGAAGCCCTGATTAAGAAAGGTTCTAGGCTCATTGCTAAGTCGGATTTCAAGGGCAAGATTCAGGCAACAGATATAAAATTGAGACTGTATTTTACGAAAGTCTTCCAAGAAAAGGAAACCCTGACTTTCATAGATCTATTTGAGAAGCATGAATCCAGATGTCAACCCCAAATTCCAGGGGATGGGAGTGGGGACTGATTTTTAGAATCTATTACACACATGTCATTGAAGCTTAGAGACATAGAATGGCTGGTATTCTCCAAAAGGGTGTATATTTTGTGCTTTAAGGTTCTAAAGTCAAGGTTGACATGAGGCGTTATTACTTTTGGAAAAGGCAGATGATTCCCCAAACCTCTGACAAACGAACCTGTGTAGAGCAGCATATGTGGGGACATAATCATCTCTCTATCCATAGAACACAGCAAGGGAAATGGAGAAAGACTCCCATTCTCCGGAGGCCCAGGAGTAAGATGTTATAAAACATTCCTAACAGAACTGTATCTGGGGCTTATGGCATGCTTTGCCTTGAAATACTTTATATCCTTTGGCTAAGTGGTGGCACACTAGCATTGTAGCCCAACAAGTGGATTTCATAGACCCAATGAAGAACAGGCTTTATGTTGTTTACCTGGTCCCCAGAGATCCCTGAGGGAGTGGCTAGGTTGTGAGTGGACAGAGGGCCTTGGATCCAGACAAAGTGTCCTCCAAAACTGCAGAGCAGAAAAGTACCTTTTGGTCTTGGGAGAATTGAAGCAACAAAGCACCCACGTGAGTGAATGAATGGCTTGGCCAGAGGCAGTGACAGTGAATGGCTTTGGAGTCCCTCAGAGACCAGCCACAATGGCTTTGGGAAAGGCAGCAGCTGTGTGTGAGAGAACCGTGAATGCCCGGATACAAACTTGCTGCTGTACAGGCTGTGCAGCCACCTGGACCCTTGTTTTATTCAGGGCTCCATAACCTTGTAAACAAGCACAGACTGGAGGGAGAAACCCCACTCCCACCCCAAAACAAATCAAGAATTCCCTCACTTGAGGCTGAGAGGAGCTTACTTACAAATAGACTGAGATCTGCAGATGCAATTACCTCTCTAGCATTTGGAGTCAGAGAATAAGACCCTTCTAACCACACAGGAAGTCTGAACACTGTGCCCATAAAATGCAAAAGCAATTTTTTGTTGTTAAATCCAGTCTGCTTTTGCCTTTTTTAATTTAGTTGGAAAAGAAAAAAAAATGAGATCCAGAAGCAAAAATCCCTCAGACTCAGACTTAAAGATTGCCAGACATGATTAAGGAGATTGGCCAACTTCTGGGGATTTTCCATTTGTGGTCCCCTCCCCCCTACTTATGTAATAGTAAGCAGATAGTATTCTTAATTTAAAGTGGTTTAGCTGATCAGGATAACCAAAGCTGAGAAGTGATAGGGCCTCAGGTACTAATGCATGAACAAACTGCAATGTGGATATCTTAGGGCTTTTCTTTTTTCTTTTCTTTCTTTCTTTCTTTTTTTTCCTGGTGGGAACAAACTGGTGCTTATAAAGTGGAGGGAACTTGAAGTTGGAGACAACTTCTGCCATTTCCCAAGAGGCATCTTTTTTATCAGAGGAAACTGACTTTTTATGCTGCCTCAATGATTCAATTTGAGTATAATTGACTCCATTTTCTAGTGAGATTACTTGGGTAATAAAAGGGACAATAGAAAGGAACCTTCCCCTCCCATACCCAACTTAGGTTTGTCCAAAAGATGGCTGTTAGCAGGCTACTTATGATGCATGTAATTCCTCTCACAAGGATATCTGGAGCAGTTGAAAAGCCATGCCTCCTAAAGTAATAGTAATAGTAATCTGATTTCTTTGCCTCAGCTGCAGCCTTTATTGCTTATGTAAAACCATAGGAGTTTTCATCCTGAATCTGGGTAAGGTTGGCTTTTTAGGTTTTAAAAATATTTTAAGAATATATCTTCTAGAGGCTAGAATTTTACTTTATAAAAAAAGATAGGATGGGCTGGTAGAGTGCTTGCCTTGCATGCATGAGGCCCTGGGTTTGATTCCTCAGCACCACATAAACAGAAAAGGCCGGAGGTGGCGTTGTGGCTCAGTGGTAGAGCGCTAGCCTTGAGCTGAAGGGCTAAGGGACAGCGCCCAGGCCCAGAGTTCAGGCCCCACAACTGGACGCCCCCCCAAAAAAAGATAGGCAGGCCAGGCAAGATATCTTACCCCTGTCAGTCCAGTTACTCAGGAGGAGGAAAGATCAAGGCTCAAGGCCAGCCTAGGCAAAAAGTGATCAAAACTTCATGTCACCCGGAAGTCGGCAGGATGAGGTGGTAGACAGCCTAGGTCCCCAGCCCTCAGGAGGTATGGACTGAAGGATTGTGGCCCAAGGCCAACCCTGAACAAAAATTTGGGATCTACTCAAAATAACTAAAACAAATGAAAAAAAAAGAAAGAAAGAAAAAAGGGGGGAAAGAGGAGAAGCTAAGGGTACACCTTAAACCATTTGCTTGCCTAGCAGCTATAAGACCTCAAGTTCAAACCCCACTATCCTCTACCAAACAAATTTAAGAAAAGTCAGTTGAAATAGTCATTGCTTGAATATTTTAAATAACAATATCACTTATTTATGGCTGTCAGTATGATTTGCAAGGCTGTCTAACAAGGCAAAGAATGTACTCTGTCTAACTACTTCCCTTATACACCACCACTTGGCTGAAGGGACACCCTGAGAAGACAGAATGGTGACTTCTGGATTTTCCCACCTTCCTATGCCTTCAAGATTTTCCAGTCCTCCAGTCCCAATCCTGACTTAGATTCTCAAGTCCAGCCCCGTGTTGCTCTAGGCCTGCTCTGGAGGATGGGAGGGGGAAGGAGGAGGAGACACAGTCCTCAGCCCTTTCTACACTGCAGCTCAGAGCAGTCAGCATCCTCCTCCATCCGTCACAGCCTCCACTCTTCTCCCCAAGTGGAATGGAGGATTAATCGCCAACACAATTCTCCTGTGACCAGCTCTGCAACCGCAAATCCCTCTCCTCAACTACACAGGGAAATATCACCTCACCCCTCCCTACCATCTATTAAATGTAAATAGAGCTCAGAGATTCACTAACCTGAGACTTTTGAAATGGAATTAAAAATTTTCTCATTTCCTTAAATAATACTAATCATTTGTTTGAATTGGTCTTTACTGAACTTAGAAGTGTGTGTGTGTGTGTGTGTGTGTGTGTGTGTGTGTGCTGGTACTAGAGCTTGAACTCAGAACCTCATGCTCTCACTTGGCTTTTTCTCTCATTTGAGCCATACTTCCACTTCCAGACTTTTGCTGCTTAATTGGAGGTAAGAGTCTCAAAACTTTTTTGCCCTGGCTAGTCTTGAACCTTGATTCTCAACTTTCAGCTTCCTGAGTAGCTAGAATTATACATGAAAGCCACCAGTATCCAGCTAGAAAAAAAAGTATATATATATATTTTTTTTAAAGGAAGAAGTAGATAGAGTGATTTCAGTTATTACCTCTAAGGGACAGTGTGTGTTATTTGCTTTGGGGATTGAAAGTAAAACTCAAGGAAAATAGAGATGCTGGGCCAATTGGCCATCTTGTCTGCAAGCAGTCCGCCGGTTTTGGAAACTTTCTTTCTTGTCACTTCCAAGAAATCGTTTTCCACTGTTTTCACTTCTTTCTCTAGGTTAGTGTCTTTGCATATTAAAAATGTTCTTGCAATATTTTAAAAGCTCGCAAACTAACTAAAAACAGCTTTTTTACACCCACAAACTCTGCCTTGTTCCAGCTCCCTTTTCCCCACAACCTCAACTTTTCCTTCTGTTAGCCAAACTTCATGAAAATATAATTCCATTTCCTCACCTCATATTCTCTCCTCAATCCATTGCAATTTCTTCATTATATATTGATGAATGGGATATTTAATATTTGCTAGGACTAAAGTGAAAAAAATAATACACAAAGAGCCTTACACCATTGCAACGTTTCCATGAAGGTGTCTGTAAACATCATTGCCAAATCGAATGGACCTTTCTCTGTGCTTACCTCATTTGCCCATACAGATACACCTTAACTGATGATGGGTTAAGTACTAGAAGCTCATCACTTGCAAATACAGTGTCAAAAATCCATTATTTCATTGGAGCTTAGCACCACGAGTGCAATATAAAGTATTAGCCCTTCTGGGGAGAGAATGTAGAGGAAACAAAGGCAGGAATCTGTGTGAGATGTTTGGGAAGTTAAGCCCCCACAAAGGAGGGTCAAAATAACTAAACAACAAAACACACAAATAAATAGATGTTTTTAAAAGAGAAGAACTAAAGCTAGTGGGAAGTCTGAGTCACCGGGCAACGAAGGGTCATTGAAGAGCTGTAAGTAGGGGTGTAGTGTGGATGTATGGTCAGATCTCTTCCAGTGTGGTATGAAGGATGGATTTGGGAAGAATGCAAGTGGCTAGCTGAATCAGAAATGGGTTAGAAAAGAAATGGTAAGGGCCAAACAATAATAATGGTTTTGGGAATGAAAGACAGTATGAACCATCAAGTCTATCTAACAATCATGTAATTTCCCCTAAGCAAGAATCACTTTAAGATCTTTCTTCTGGATTCTAAATAATTCTGCCCTTTTAATCTGTTTGCCTTCCAGATACCACTCACCTCTCAAATGTAAAAAAAAGCAGATCTGTTTACTACCTAGCATGTTTGAAAGCCATTGATCAGGATTGGTGCACTTAATGTTAAGAAAGCCGTAAGTCCAGCAGTGGTGGCTTATACCTGTAATCCTAGCAAATCAGAAGGCTAAACTCTGAGGATTGAGGTTTGAAACCAGCCCAAGAAGACAAACCAGAGAGACTTATCTCCAGTCAAGCAGTAAAAAGCTGGAAATGGAGATGTGGCTCAAGTGGTAGATCACTTGTCTCATAGAACGGGAACACTGCTGTCTCTTGTACGTTCAGTAATGAGAATTTTAATTTACAAAATCCCTCTGTGGATTCTCTTTTCCTAGCCTATTCCCACCCTATTTCCCAATTGCCTTCATTTTGACTTTGACCACTCACAGAAAAGAGACTCAGAGCTTAACTCGGCTCCCATCCTAGACTATGATGGAGAAATCTTTGTTGGTTGATTGAAGGCACAGGAGATTAAAAAAAATGACAATTATGTGTTTAGGAAGACAGAGTTCTTTAAAAGAAGCTGACAAGGAAATCAACAGTTATGAAAGCATTAAAGATGAATTCATCTTTGGGGTTAAGATAGGGCTGTGGAAGAACTGGTGCAGTGTTTGGATGGAGACACATGTTAAAGATACCTATAAGGGTGAGCATACTGGAAGACAGAAGGCCAAAGGGGTAAGAGGCTTAGATTGCAATAGGGCTTCAACTTGATCATTCAACATGAACATGAACATCATTTGATATATCACATTTTGCTGTGTTCTGCAGGAATTAGAGGGACCCTAGGATAAAAGCAGCCCAAATCAGGGAGACAAGCCCAGCTCCTTGATGCATCTCCAGATGTGGGTAAGCAGGCTCTGGTTGAATGTGTTCTATGTGCTTGTAAACCCAGTCCTTTGGGACCTGAAACAGGAGAATCGCAATTTTCACATCAGTCTGGACTATACAGTGAGTTCAAGGCCAGCGTAGACCTTTAAGAGAAATGAATAGTTCTAGATTTGCATCTTCCTTAAACAAGACCTTTCATGCCTTTGAACTTCATTGTGATTATCTCTAAAATGAAGGTTGTGAAGCAGGCCATTGTACAGCCTGCTGGAAATGTCACTGATCCAAGGCTATTTATTCACTAGAGTCCTTCTCATATGATTTGGGTCCCATTTTGATGGTGCCTAGCTTCCAGCACAGGTTTGTCAATGAATATACGATCAAAGATCATTTGCTTTTTTTTAGTACATTTTTCTTTGCTTGATATTTTGGCCACATTTTTCTATCATTGTTTCTTTTATTTATTAAACATGCTGAAAAAAAACCCCACAAGGCTTAAAAAAAATAATCTTAGTATCTTCAGGGTAGTTGTTAGAAAAGTCATTTCAACTGCGAAGATAAAGACGGAGGGAAAGTTTCATGGTTGAACTGTGAACATTAAATTGGAAGAGGCAAGTGAAAGGGAAGACCATTAACATCCAGAGGACTTGTTACCGTTCTCCAGGATGTCTGTTCCTCTGTGCAGCCCTCTCCTACAAAACTCTGCACAGCGCCCTCACTTGCAGTATTCTACAAAACCACTTTCCTCCAAATTATGCATGTGCTGTATTGGTAATGGTTTCTATTTCTGCATTCTATTTTTTCCTCGCTTCATGTTTTATAAATGAAGAAAATGGCGAGATTTAATTATTCCCTAAAAAAAACAAGACAGCCAAAGCTAAAAGAAAAAAAAGTAGATATTTACTGAGACCCTGCTACATCCAAGAATTGTGCTTGTTTTAAAATGTGGAAGCTAGGGGGTGGATAGAAAAGGCTGTGCAGATGTTTGAAAATCCTACAGAAATTGCTGAAATTGGAAAACTTGCTGCAGTTCAGAGACAATTAGGACAGAAAAATGGCTGTCAAAATGAATCTGTGTAAATGAGAAGGAAAAAAAAGACATTTTTTTCCCAAGACAGATGCATTTAAATAACCATGACAATGATAGAACCAGAGGCTCAGAATCAAAGAAAGAGCATGGCGATGTTATCCCCAATGACCACAGCCTTAAGAGATAAAATCCATTCTGCTGGTGGATCTCAATTCTAGGCAGTAAGAGCTGACTCGTTAAAGAAAAAATATAAATAAATAATGGGAGGGGACATGTAATCCACAACTACACACTTAGTGAATTACATTTGAATCACCATCATTCAACCTCAAAAGGAAACAAATAGCATGCCTTTCAGTTTTATTTGAAGACGTGTGTATAAGGAATTTTAGAGGAAATGTAAATTGGTAGAAAGTGATCATTTTATTTTTTGCCTATCATGTGTATGTGTGTGTGTGTGTGTGTGTGTGTGTGTATGCTGGTTCTGGGGCTTGAGTTTTTGTGCTCAAGGCTAGTGCTCTACCACTTTGATCCACAGTACCACTTCTAGTTTTTGGTGATTAATTAGAGATAAGAATCTCATGGATTTTTCTGCCTGGGCTGGCTTTGAGCCACGATCCTCAGATCTCATCCTTTTGATTAGATAGGATTCAGGTGTGAGTCACCACTACCTGGTTTGTTGATAAAACCATATTCAAAATGAATCAGGAATGCCAAGCACGGTGGTAAGTGCCTATAATTTCAGCAGGAAGACAGAATGTGGAAGTACACAGATGACAACAAGTTCAATGAGTATCTCAAAAACAAAATATAAACCAAGAGTCTGAAAGTGTTGTTCAAATTAGAGCACTTGCTGCTTGCTTGGCAAGTTCAAGCCTCTGAGTTCATCCCTAATACTGCTAAAAACAAAAATAACAGTAATTACTATAATTAAAACTAGGAAGGAAATTAGCCAGGTATTTAGCCTACATGCAAATGTGAAGTTAGTAGGTATTCTCCAAGCACTATATTGCAAACTGACATAAAATGATGATAAACACTTGTTATTTAGCTTTGCTGAGAAAGTCCAATGTTTGGACCATCTTTATGTTTGTAATCCCTTTGCTTTACTTTTGGAATCCTTTGCACATTTTTTTTTTTTTTTGTCAGTCATGTGGCCTGAACTCTGGGCCTGGGCGCTGTCCCTCAGCTCATCCGCTCAAAGCTAGCGCTCTGCCACTTGAGCCACAACGCCACTTCCAGCTTTTTCTGCTTATGTGGTGCTGAGGAATCAAACCCAGGGCCTTGTGCACGTGAGGCAAGCACTCTATTACTGAGCCAATTTCCCAGCCCCCTTTGCACATTTTTAATGACAAAAGCAGTCTCACTCCACCTCTGCTTTCTCTGATAGGTGCTACTCATGTCAAATATTATGTTACAGGCTTGGTTAAGGACTGCATATTGGATGCCTATAGACAGTTACAGAACTCCATGCCTCTGGGCACATGACTCTGGTCATGGTGATTGGTCCAAGTGTTGGCATGTGACCCAAATGAAGCCAATCAGTTCTTCTCTGTGGGGTTGTTGTTGTTTAACTCTGAGACCAGAGAGGGGTCCTCTCTTCCCTTTTGCATTGCAATCTTCTAAGGAA